ACCCCTACCTTCCCTCCTYCTCCTCTGATCTCAGGTTATCTCACTATATCGCGGTCTGTGCGCACCGTTGGCCGGCCTGACGGCCATCAATGCCATCGTTTTCGGCGTCTACGGGTCGCTAATCAAGAAAATGGATGAACCGTCCCTACTATGGCAGGCAACGGCCGGCTGTGCCGCTGGACTGTCCCAATCGTTCATCTCGTGCCCGATTGAACTGATCAAAACACGGGCACAGTTACGGTCGATGTCCGTAATGGACTGCCTCAGGGAAACCATACGCAAAGAGGGCTGTATGCGTGGCCTGTATCGCGGTTTCGGGGCAACCATTGTCCGCGATGTTCCCGCTTTTGCCACATACTTTGCATGCTATGAACTACTATTGAAGTTGGCGGCCAACAATGGMCGCGGAGGACGACGKGAAACTACTACTACACCGTCCACATGGATGCTACTGATGGCCGGCGGTACGGCCGGTGCCGTATCGTGGCTGGCCATCTATCCCCTAGACGTAATCAAATCACGTATTCAAGCCGACAATCATACGTACCGATCGATGGGTCAGTGTATTAGGCGATCGCTGGCCGACGACGGCTTCAATGTGTTTGTCAGGGGAGTAACGCCGACACTGGTTCGGGCATTTCCGACCAATGCGACCACTTTTGCCGTAGTCACCTGGACATTGTGGTCGTATGAATATTATTATTGTGATGATGAGCGGTCAGCGGCGGCGGCCGCGACGGGAAAAACTAGTGATAATATACTGGAATAATAATAATAATAATTTTAGTAATTTTTTTTTAATTATTTTAATTGTTTTTTTTAATTATATATATAATTAAGTGCTCATTAAGTTTGTGTGTGTGTCCACCCATTTATTATTATTTTTTTGGATAAATTTTTTAAAAATATATAAATCATACTATTGTTAAAATTTTTGTGTTTTTAATAATCATATAAATTGTGTGTTAATTTTGTTATTATTATTATTTTTTTGAAAAAAATTTGTTGTTGAATTAAATCTAATAGTATTTTTTATTTGTTTGATTAAATTATATGAAATATAAATTTKAATTTATTTATTGTTGTTTTATTTGGTTTAATTATAAATTATATATATATTTATAAAAAAAAATTAATATCTAAAGTACAGTACAATTTAATATATCATTAACTATAGAAACCATATGATATTTTTATAGTCAAATACATTATATAATTATATATATATATATAATATTTAAGTAAATATTTTATTATATTATATTTAATATACAGTATATTAATAATTATCACACGATTTGTGAAAAATAAACTTTTCAGTTTCAGTACTAATTTATTAATAATATTATCATTATTATCACTTTTTTTTATATACAGTAAAAAAAAATTCATAATTAATTTGATAAAAAATAAATAAATTGATTTGAATTACTGTTTATTCAATAAATAAATTGATAAAAGTTTTATATTTTTATATATATATTTAAACAAAATTTTGTAACCAACTGTTTTTTTGTATATATATATATATAAACCTAAATTAAATATCATATCAATTATCTATCAGATGTTTTTTGTAATATAAAAATTAAGTTTTTAAATATTATTTAATTTATATATATATATATATACTGTATATTACTGTATAATTGATTTAATAATTATCAGTACATATATTTTTTTAATTGAAGTTTTTTATTGAAAAAGTTTCCGATTTTTTTCACATTTTGTTTATATCAATAATTTTTTCGGTAAATTGAAAGATATTTACAACAACAAAAATATTGAAAATGAAAATTAAAACAAAAAAATAAATCAAAAAATACTAAAACCACATAAATATTTACAAATAATCTAATATAATATTTTGTAGTTTTAAATTTTTTTTTTGTTAAATGTTAGTTTGAAAAACTAATTTTTGTTTTGTTTTGTTATTTAATTTTCAATACTAATCAATAATAAATTATTATAATTTAAAAAAATATAATTCTTAATAAAAATTTTTTTGAAATAATTGATTTTTAACACATTTTACTATTACTTTAATCCTAAAGTAGTAATTGTTTGGATTATATGATATATATATATATATATAATATAAATAATAATTAATAAGTTTGACATAAAATGCTAAATAATAAATTATATATAAATTATATATACTATATATATATTGATATATACCGGTATAGTATTAATAATTAAATTAATAATAAAAATAAAAAAATAAATAAATAATTATTATATTTTATAACAACATTTGGATCTCAATAGGAGACGACAGGAGTTCCGTCTAAATGGATGAATATATATATACAGTGAAAGCACTGGTATTGTTGTGTTTGAAAAAGCACTTGTATGTAGTTTTTCCTGATTTTATATTTTCGGTGCTTATATAATATATATTTGATAGTAAATCACAGATAGACTGATACTATTTGTCTAATGTTGTTGAATGGCATGACTGTTATAAACACATGTTATAAATTATAACAGTTTTATATATATATATATATATATATATATATATATACAGGTGCTGTGTATATACCGTATTATATTTTAGAWACTAGTATAGTATATATAAATGACACCAAAAAAACATATATCATATACTGTATAAAAATCTATATAATTTTTGTTGTTGTTTTTTTGTATAAATAAATAGTATGTGTATTAAAACTTATATATATATATATATATATATATATATATATATATATATATATATATATATATAGACTAAAAGCCCTATTGATTTTGCAATCAATCTATGTCCACAAAAATGTTGGGATATAATATGTTTCAAAGGGGGGTAGTGATGGTGGTAGTGGGGGAAAGTTAAATAAAAAATCAATAAATATCAATATATATATATATATAGTCTTAAAAATCAATTGACTAAAAAAATTTTAAGATACATATTTAAARTWMKATATATATATTAAAAAAGTTGTATTAATAAAATTTATCATAACTAATAAACTATTAATTTTTTTATTATTAAAATAATATCAGTTATATTATTAGTGTCTAATGTGTTAAATTAATTTTTTTACAATTTATGATTTTTTTAAAAATAAAAATCAATTTATTATTAAATTGATATCCGGTTATGAAATATTTATTAAATAATTTAAAAAAAGCAAATTATTATTTYATTTTTTAAACAATAAAACATTTAACATTTAATAGTCAATTGTTTTTTTTGTAAAAAAAGTAAAACATATTTTTATAGATAATTTTTTCATGATACTTATTGAATATRATATTACAAATATATAGTAAACATTAAATGTAATTTAAAATATTTTTATTGCAAATAATATGTAATATTWAATATTATTAATATCTAATTTTTTAAAAATTAAATTTTAAACAAAAAATATGTTTAGAAATTAATTAAAATAAATTGTTTCAAATAATTATAATATCAGTTATTTAAGTAAAGTTTTTAAATAGCATTATAATTAATATATAAATTTATATATATATATATATCAATATATATAATCTTAATATTTATATGTATTGAAAAATTATTATTTTAATTTTTATYTTTTAAATAATTACATTTTCAGCTAACAATTTTATTTAWCAATTAATAATTTTTATTAAAAATTACTTATTTTTTATATTAAAATAAATTTATTACAAGAAAGATGTTTATTAAAATTGGAAAATAATTTTTTGCAAAAAAATATTTAATATTTTATTTTGTGAATAATTCAAYAAAATTTACGATGATACTAATTGTTTTTATTATTATTAATAAACTAATAAATAATAATAATTATTATTATTAAAAAACTTATTTATATTATTGTGTCTATATTTCATATAAAATAATAATAATAATCATCATCAAAAAAAACACAATTTTATGTTTCAAAATAATAAAAGATAAAAGTTTGTAACCCTTTTTCCCCCCTTATATACCAATCAATAAATAGATAATATATATATATATATATATATATATATAAATCAAATAACAATTTTATTTTTTTTGTATTTTCGCGTTGAAATATCTCACTAAACAATTTTTAAATGAAGATTTATGTGATATATAATAAATATTATATATATATTGTATACAAAAATATATTTATATATATATATATATATATATTATATATAATAAATGTCATCTTAAAAACTAACAAATACTAACAACTAATACGACAACATCAACAACAACAACAACATCATCAACAATGACAACGACAATGACAACTACGATAATAATGTATAACATATATCTATACAGTATTTTTCGGGTAAAATAAAAAAGGGGTGTATATATATCTAAACTACATGAGCCGCTAATGGCTTATCACCGTACGATACTATATATATATATATATATATAATCATCGGTAATGGACACAATATACTATTGATATATATATATATATATATATATATTAAATGGGCAAAAATGTTGTGCAAATTGGTTGATGTGTTGGCGCACAGCACTGGAAGGTAGACTTTCTTATACATAGAGTATAGTAGTTATATATATTATGGAAAAGCTCATGGATGGCACACACATATAGTTTATATATATACCAACCACCACTACTACTACTACTACCATCACCACCACCACCGCCACTACTCTACTCCAGCTCATGGATGCGTTGCCAATGGATACCATAGGGTTGGATGGAGAGAGAGAGAGATGGGAGAGAGAGAGAGTGAAAGATCAATAAATTTTTATTCAGTATCACAATTGGCTTCTCTATTTGAAGTCACAAAAATATATATAATATATATATATATATATACATACTGTACACTGGGTTTACCTATTTATATATATATATATAATAACATTAACATTTACCAACATTACATTGTGTGTGTAAATATCTATATATCTATCTATACAGTGTATGTGTGTGTGTGTGTTTATAATAAATGTGTGTTTGTGTTTAGGTTGCATATATAAAAAAATATCTATTTTATAATTATGATTATACTTAAGTGTTATCTAATATTAACATTAATAAAAATCATAACAATATCACCATTACTATCGTATTTGTGTTTGTTTTGCAAATTATTTGATATAACGCACGCACTTCCGGATATTATAAGGATAGGTATGTATATGTCTATCATTTATATATATATATTTATGTGTGTATATATGTATATAAAATATAATGGCATATAATAAAAATAATAATATTTTTGGTTGTATTCACTGTATGTAAAATAAAATTTTTAGAGACATAGAATATTCTGTTACTATTTAATACTACTGTATATATTGTATACATGTATACAGTATTATATATTTAGAGAAAATGTCAATATATTTGTAAATCTATCATCAATTTATCTATACATATATGACTTTAATCATCTACACTACTAATGCTAATGTTTTATTTGGTTATATTATATAATATTAGTACAGTAGTAGTAGTAATCTTTATATATAAATGCAAATAAACCAAATATATCAATAGATATTTAATATATACGTATATTTAAAACTAGAAACTAATTTATTTTATTATTCTATATTGCATTTTATAATTAATAAAAATATTAATAATATTCTTAATATATACTGATATATAAATATTTAAAAATATTTTCTATTATTATATAAAATTAATTTTCTCAACAAAAAATTAATTTTTTAAAAATATATTTTTTCAAGTAAATCATAAATAGTTTTTATTGTTTTTACTAAATCGTGTAAATTGTTTTCAGTATTAGTATTATTATTATTATTATTGTTATTATTTTTTATTATTTTATTTTAAAA